AGCCATTTAACTGCATTCCTGTGGTGCTGCATCTAAGCTAATGAACCTCTCCAGAGTTCATTAAACTCAAATCCAATTTGGGATTGTCTATACCCATGGAGTGGTAATGTTGTTTAATTAATAAAATTAAATTAATAAACTTAAATTCTTTTTAATTCAGATAAATTAATTCTTAACAAAGGCAAATCACCCAACTGGTTTCATTTATGAGTAAGTAATAATTTGCTGGTATTCCAAGAATAAAGGTCAGTAATTGCAAAATGTTGGTGCAAGTCTGTGGGAAGAGATGGAAAATAATAATCCAATATTGCTCTTCTGAAATCTTAACTCTGTGCACTGTACCTTCTGATGTGTGCTAAAGTTATTAAAAATGTCTCCAGTGGAGGTGCAAGCGTTGTCCATCACAGCTTGTTAGATTGACTGTCATGTAAAAACCATGTGGTTAATTCCCCAGGAATAGATTAGTAATGGAGGTATCAGACTCTGAGGTATTGAGTTTGTAAGTAAAAACTCTATTGACGGACCAATGTCCATTGATATTTTCCAGATCAGAATTGCATTTTCATTTCAACTAGGAAGTGAATTATGTTACAAATGATTTTTGAAGACTGGTGTTGGTGTTAGCACAGAGTCATACTTTTCCCTTGCAAGCTGTGAAAAATCCAGAATATGTTATTTGACTGAAGCCACTGAAAGTTTCTGCTGATGTCATATCAGTAACTTTAATCTTTTATTTAAATAGTCTTGCTACCATTCTGTAAAAAAATTCTCTAAACATGCAATCATAGAACGAAGTCAGTAATGATAGATGTGATGAAGATGGCTCTTGAAAGCTACTGAAGTTTCTGAGGAGAACTAGGTGTTGAATTAAGGCAGAATAAGTCTGCTGCCATTTTGGAATGTGTGTAATGGAAAAGTGCTCTAAAGTTTTGCAACAGAAGCTTACTTTCAGAAGAAGCCCTGCAAAGGATGAATTATATTGAAGTAAGATAACAGCTTCAATTTGTTTTAAGCTTTAGTTCCATTCTTAAGCATGGATACAGCTGTTAAAACTTGGTGAAGGCAATACGTGGCATTTATTTTGACTTGCATCTTCTGGATTCTGAAAGATTCTGGTTCTATAAAGGAATACCTCCCTAAATAATCCAGAGGAGATGAGGATTTCAGACTTTTGGGTGTGTTTTTTTTTTTTTTTAAGATAAGTAATTCTCACATTGTTTCTTCTGCATTTTTTGGTCTTATGACACATAAGTAAATTTCTTCCAGTATTCTGGCATACAAGTTACATTATTCTTTACAGTGAGCTTGTAAAATTCAGCTTTATTATGCAACTTTACAGCAGCTAGTCCTAAAGAAAGTGTAGAAAATGTTTTGCCTTGAAAATTAAGGCAGTGGAATTCATTACAGCACATGAATATCCTGAACTGCATAGTAGACACAGAGAATCCCAAGTCTGTATGATGCAAACGCCATTATTTAAGAAAATGTCCCCTGTGTTTAAGGCACTATTCAGTGTATAGACATAATTGCATAGAAATGAAATTTACCATTACAGGGTCAGCTTTTTTCAGTGATGCATATTTTCTTACTTATTTTTATAATGAGGTGGAGAATGCCTGCCTGCCTGCCTGCCTGCCTGCCTGTGGGAAGACTCGCTCGCTTTTGCCAGCAAAAGCAGGTGGTGTTCTCCCACCAGCCATGGGTTTGTTTGGGATGAGTAGCGTAGTGACTAACCACCCCACCAGCCTTCCTCTTCACATGGGCTGAGAGCCACCTGGCCCTTCTCCAAGAGTCTGTACTGATTCAGCACATCTTTACAGCAGCCAGAAGCATCCCCCTTCAGTGGCGTAGGCTGTCGAGTGCATGCCAGGCTCACTCTCTCCTTTTTACTCTGATGTTCCATCAGTGTCAAATTCCTGATATTTGGGCTGTTACCATGGCCTTGGCCTGGTATATTGAAATGTTCTGAGATTAAACCAGTGGTTGAGAGCTCTATTTGTCAGGAATAATGAACTTTCTCACATACGTGTAGGAGGCAGAGCTCACTTGACTGTGCGTATACTGATGTTATAAGGGTGCTCTACGTCAGTACAGTGAGAACTCAAGTATGCACCAGTCTTTCTTCTGCCTAAATATAACTGTCTGCAGAGTCACTTGGTTGTGTCCAAACTAGAGCTAGAGAGAGCTAGAACAAAGACTGTATGTGTAACTGAGTGAGCTGGATTGAAAATTGAAGAACTACAGTAATGTGACAGCATAGGTGTAAATTTGGGAGACAAATCCTAGATTACAGTGGATTCCCACATTAGCTAAGGATCTCAATAAACTTTTACAAATGTTTGCTGCAAAAAGAACACTTGCTCTTTTTCTATATTCTCTTACTTGAACTCATACACTTAAATCCCAAGACTGAGTCAGGAAGGCCACAGAAAATGGAGAAACCAAAATGCTGTCTTCTAAGGCATTTTCAAGAAAGAAGCAAGAAGTCACACTAAGCACCTTTCTCCTGGTGAGGTATTTATCGTCTTTGGTTTTATCATACGATGATACAGAGCCTCACTCCAGCAAGTAGGATGTCTGGAGTTAAGCCCAAGTTACCACCAAGGACTCAAGAGCAATTATTCATATCTCTCAACATGCTACTGGAAGATGCTCAAATATGGTAATGCAGGTGGTATAAGAATACTGTCTTATCAAGCTCCTGTTTAATTTTTAAAGCTGATTTCTGAAGTATGTGCTGCTGGGAAGGCAGTAGCAAGTTTACGCTCCCTTTTTACTTAGGTTTAAGTTCATCTGCTCAATGTATTATTTCATCTGTCCAGAGGGACCTTGACAGCTTGAGAGGCGGGCCCATGCAAACCTCATGTATTTCCAACAAGGCCAAGTACAAGGTCCTGCGTGTGGATTGAGGCAGTTCTAAGCACAGATATAGGCTGGGCAGAGAATAGATTGAGAGCAGCCCTGAGGAGAAGGACTTGGTGTGTTGGTTGATGAAAAGCTAACCATGACCCAGCAGTGTGCACCTGCAGCCCAGAAACCAACCATGTCCTGGGCTGCATCAAAAGGAGCGTGACCAGCAGGTCAGGGGAGGTGATTCTCCCCCTCTGCTCTGCTCTCATGAGACCCCAGCTGCAGTACTGCATCTGGATCTGGGGCCCCCAATATAAGAAGCACATGGACCTGTTGGAGTGAGTCCAGAGGAGGGCCAAATCTGCTCAGAGGGCTGGAGCACCTACCGTATGAAGATAGGCTGTGAGTTGGACTTGTTCAGCCTGGAGAAGGTTCAGGGGAGCCCCTATAGCAGCCTTCCAGTACCTAAAGAGGCCTACAAGAAATTTTGAGAGGGACTCTTTATAAAGGCATGTAGTGGTAGGACAAGGAGGAATGGCTTTAAACTTACAGAGGATAGCTGGATTAGATGTTAGGAAGAAGTTCTTGACTGTGAGGATGTTGACAAGACAGGACAACTGGAACAGCTTGCCCAGAGAAGTTACGGATGCCCCATCCCTGGAAATGTATTATTTTCTACTAATGCTAGACCTTTCGAGAAGCACAAATCACAGAAGATCCTGTGTGCTTGTATGAGTGCACATCCTTATAGAAAATCACAAGTGAGCTGTTCTGAGTTTTAAATTTTTCCCCGCTACATCCTCCGTTTCCCCTCCCCTACACTCTTTACCAGCATGGATCCTACATTGAATTTTTTAACTGTTAGCTATTCTCTGGGTATTCTTTGATTAGGTGCTAATAAATATTAACTTAGGCAAGCTGCAGGAAATTTACTATGTGTCTTCTCAGCTAAATTTTTATGTATGTATAAAAATGTATACATAATATAAACTAATTAAATGTTGTGGATTCCAGAATTATTGTTTTGTTCATCTCACATGTAAATCCATAATAGTTGTGATTGCTTTGTCCCTAGAAGGGGATAGAGTAGGGGGTCACACAGATCACCCACAACCAGTATTTCTTAGAACACATCTTGTTTATTAGTTTGTTGTTATTGTTAATGTAATTGAGCTGCTGTTATCGATAGTGGGTGGCTGTTCACACAGCATGTGTGATCCCTTGTGTGTTCACCCATAGTTCCCTGCCTAGAGCATCAGTTGGTGGGGGGCAACCTACCTCTATGTTTGGAAACAGAAGGATCAAACTGCACCATCCCACAACCCTCCAGCAGCTTTTTGTGGGTGTTCAGAGAGTCCCTCCAAGGTCCATTGTTTCGTCAGATGTATGTGTATGGTCATGTAGTCTTTGTAAATAACATGGATCTCTTGGGTGAGGTGAGCTCGAATTGCTGCTAGCCTGTGTTGGTGGCCTTGGGCAGATTGGGCCAGACTGTGGTGTCCTGAGTTTCTCAGTTCTTGTAGGTCCAAGAGGATTACTCATCTACAGAGGTTATTGGTCCAGAGGAAACCGTTATGAATTGCCTTCTTAACACATACTTTTCCTCTCTGTTCAGCTTGCTGTTTCTGTGGTATCTGTTCCTCCATCCATCCTATAGGTGCCTATAAAACCTTCAGACAGGCTCACGAGAGGGGCCCAGCATGGCGTGATGCTATATCTCGTGAACGATTGACTGTAGATTATAGTTGTTTGTATGATAGCTAGTAACTATTATTGGTAACATACCCTTGCCTCCCTCATTGGTAATTAGCATTTTATTTGTTTACATTATTATTTTAATAACTTATTTAAGCTATCATTTGAATTAATTCCAATGTGTGACTTTATTACCAACAGTTACAGATAGAAAAATCACAGTTTTGTTTCTCGTAAGATGATTAGAAGGCAAAGGCCAACTAAAATACGAATTTATCACATCCAGTCTTGAGCTTGGCATAAGCATATGTATTTAAACCTACAGCTTTTATAACAGAATCTTCTTGAGATCAGATTACTGTTTTAAAATTACTGGAATGGGTTTATGGAAATAGTTTTCATTTCTACTTAATAGCAAAATAAATTTGAGTTTCAATTTTAATGTTTTTCCACAGGTATACCTTGAAAGACTTTTAACTTATGCAGAGATAGATATTTGTCCAGCAAACTGGAAGCGAATTGTATTGGGTGCAATTCTACTGGCATCCAAAGTTTGGGATGACCAGGCAGTGTGGAACGTGGATTACTGCCAGATCCTGAAAGATATCACGGTCGAAGACATGTGAGTGCAGTATGTTTATCTTTGTGAATGAGTGCCAAGATCTGTGTGCATGAAGGGGTCGGGAATTCCTCTCATAAATTATATGAAGTTTGAAAATTTTCATTTTATCTAAACATGGTGGGTGCTGATAGATGGCATGAGGTCTGCTTGACAGTTGCTTACATAGAAGATATAAATTATTTTTGCTTTCTGGTTGAAGTGTATTTTACCACTGGATGTTCATGCATGGTGATGAAAAAAGACCTGAAAAGATTTAAATGTGTGACTTGACAAAAAACCCAAACACATCCAGTGAGCTTGGATGTGATCCTAATGATCACACCATGTTGTGATCCTAATGACCATTAGATGATCGCCCTCTTATTTACTGCCGTTATTCAAAAGTAGTACTTTTGGGGTTTTGGGCTGTTTTTTCCCTACTGATTCCTGCTAAGTTCATTTCCAGGACCTAAAAAATGTAGTGTATTTTGATTTGCAAAGGTAAATTTTCAGTTTTTCCATTTCTGTTATCTGATGGCATTCTTAGGAAGTGCATATTGTAACAGTGTAGAGAGTTGTGACGTCTGCCTGGATACTCTAAGGTCATATTAAGAGTATATTCCAACAGTAAGAAAAAGATCTGTAATAAGAATAAACATAATTAATACTTACTAAAATGAATGTTAATTTCACTAAACATTCTAGCGCTTATGTTTTTGGTCAGTTGCTCAGCAGGTACTGCATATACTGGCTGAAGAGCCTGGGGTTTGTATCGTCTGTACATTCAGGGCTGAGTCACGTACCATGCATGCTTTTTGAGGTGCCCTTACCTGAGCTGGTGTGTGTGCAAGAGTAGTACTGCAAGGGATGCAGTTTGGAGTTGGTGCTGGGATGGTGCTGGAGGTCAAGGTACCTTGACAGTCCACTGTGGCTTGTGCATTCGGAGAGTGACGTTTTCAGTCTGCTGGTGCACCCCTTTTTTTTTTTTTTTTGTAATCATTAACAACAACGTTATTTAAAAGCAGTTTTAGCACAGTATCTTCTAAGCAGAGCTAAGTATCTGTAATGAGAGGTATGGAGACTTGTACCTACTTTAAGTCACTTAAGTCAGTACCACAGCCACTGAAGAGAGTTTGCTGTGGATAACCACTCTGGGAGGAGGGAAGAGGGAAGGAGGAAAGTAGATGAGAATACATGTTTGGGCAGACAGAATGTTCTTTGAATCTCAGCTTGCAGTCTCAAAGCAGTGAAAGGCCAAGCATTTTTGCTAAAGCAGCCCTCATTTTGTTTCGTAATAGTTCACTGTTTGTCAGATTTGTAGCTGGTCAAAAATGATCTGTAAGGGAAAGGTTGAATGTTAGGAGTCTGCTGATAGCTTTAAATTAAGCATGCTCATACACCGCTAGATAAAACTTACAAATTGTGAGTAGCTGTCATTGTTCAAGTATTGGAAGAGTTATCTCTGAATCTTGTATTAACAAGCAATTTGTGATAAGGTGTTTTGTTTGTTTTTTTTTTCCCTGAGTCAAAGTGAAAAATGCAAAGCCTGTGTTTGTGGTATGTTGTAGGTATTTTCATTAGTTTGGGGGAAAACTGTCAGTTCAAAATAGAAGTGGGAAATACCATATAATGTCATTTCATTATCTGTTTTAAAATACATAATCTGCTTTAAGGATGGTTGATGCTACTTCTTTTCTGACATAACCCTGACAGAATAGATTTCCAAAACAAAAGGGGCAGTAGAGATGACAAGAAGCTAAAATCAGGCCCTTCACATTTCTGCGTGCTACGTTATTCCATGCAGGACAGTTTGACAATTCTTCCTTGACTGCTTTGAGTGTTTCCTGAATGATTTTGCTAAGCTACTTTTCCCTTGATCCTTTTCTCATGCTTCTGGGTATTCAGTGGCAGTAAGGGACTCCCTCCATTCACTGCTCCTCCAAGGCAAATCTGGGAGCTTTTGAAGTATTTCTGAAGCTGGGAGCTGAGCTGAGGTAGAGTGTTGAGCAGCTTGAAGCAGACTGACAGGTTTGACTGTGCTGTATGACAGTATTAATCAGGAATGGTTATGAGTTTTGAAATGCTGATTCTCAGAGCTTTTCTTGAAGGCAGGTGATGAGGCATACTGTCATGGTGTGAAAGGAAACTAAAAAGAAGAGGTTATTGTTTTTAATGAGCACAGAGATGGTGCTACTGTTAGAAGTTGCACTTGAGCTATATAACACCGTTACTCACGTGGCAAACCCGTGCTAACATCAGCCCTCTTTCTGCACTCCACATTCCCTAAGACAAACTATGATGAGTCCCTGGCCTCAAAGATTTTAGCTTCTTAATCTGTTCTTAAAAGATTGTAGGGTTCTCACAAACTGCAAAACCAGAAGCCTTTGAGGAGCCTGTGCTCTCTGTGTGGTATTTGGTGATATGGCTCATGGGCTTTGTGTCTGGGGCTCCTTGTGAATTCTGCAGCAAAGATTTCGGTGGTTGTTGACCTGACGTTTATATTCCTGTTGCCAGTTTTAACAATTTTTTTTTTTCCCTCAGCTCCTACCTCTAGTGTGGATTGGATTTTTCCTTTATAATTTTTCAGGTAGTTGGGACAGTACAGTATTATGATTTTTGTGGTGTCTAGTTCTACATAAGATGGGTACGTTCATTTTTTTCTATTAATAAGGCAGGAAAAACTCTAGGTCAGAATCTTCAACATCTGTGAATCATTCAGCATAAGTGCATCTTGCAAAACATCATGCAGACCTTCAGTGTTTTCTGAGTCACCAGCAGTACATTGAACTGTGGCTAAAAGCTAACGGAGAACTGGAGTGCAGTATCTGTAGTCATGTATATAGTATTACCTTGAATTTCTGTGTGAATTATAGAAGTGGTCAGAGGAAAGCATATGTAAAGGAATCTAATGAAAAGTATGGGGGAAGAAGGCTATGGTAGTTGGTTAAGTTACATTAGTTCGAAGAAGAAATACCTGTATTCTTTTGTTCTTTCTCAGCTGTAGTTAGTCTGCTGATCTGACCTTCAAATCTGGGAGGTAAGGTATAGTAAGAATCGGAGGCAGTGTGTTTTTCTTAAAGATTTGGGGATGCTCTTCAAAAGAGGTACAGCCGATATCTTTCTCCATTAAAATAGGCTTTATGTTGTCAGTTAACATAGACCCTTAGGTTTAGCTTGCAGAAAGTAAAATCTTGGCGGTATAAAAGGACATTTAAAGATAATCTTCTGCATTTATTGATAGACATCTTAAAATGTAATTTTTTTCATTTGGATTTTTTAAAAGCTTGAATCTTCAACAGTGTGATTTCATGCCAGAGTCTATATCCAGCTTTTAGTTAGTCTTTTAATGTTAATTAATATTTATCATTATGTAAACATAGAATTTCATCACAGTGTGAAGGTGAGGAAGGACAATGATTATTTTCTAAGTGATATAAAAGTAAAGAGTGAGAATAAGAAAAATAATTCAGTGCTGAAAAACTACTGTACCAGTATATTTTTTGTTATCCTGATATCCTTCCTTTTCTATTGTCAACTGCCTGCATGCTTGCACTGCAGTCAAAATGTAACTTAAATGTAATATTGTAGTAAGTCAATACCTGCTGGTGACACAGCTGTGCAGTCCCTTTACTCTTCAGCAGACATGTACAGCTTTTACCACCCATTGATTTTTTTTTTACTTCTCCTATCTTGAAATCACTGCTTTGAGCATATATGTCCCTGAGTAAGTATTACGTAGGATTTCTAGTTACCATGCAATTTATGAAAATTTCCAATGCTTAGTTTTGTTGATTTGCCTATTTCTTAACATACTTCCTAATGTAATGGTGTACTTGATATTGCTATACCAGTTTTCTCGGGGTGGGAGCTCAAATAAGACCTCTGTTCCTATCACGTATTTTGACAAACACATTTGTTTTAGGTACTGAAAAGTAAATGAGTAACTGTGAGTTTTGGTTGCATGGCTTAGGGAAAAATAGCTTTATTCTGTTTATGAAGATAAGACAGTATGCTGAAAAATTCAGGTTTCCCGTGACTAGTTCTAAATGATTGATGGTGAAAGGCTGAGGAGAGTAAATAAGTTCCCCAGTAATTTAGGTGTTAGAGTACTTTGCAGCATTTATGAGAGAGATGTCTGACAAATCTAGGGCATGTCTGCATTTCGTGTTTGCATAGCTGTGTGCGCAGATCCACCTAGTGGAGGTACAGCAGAAATGACAAGAATTCTTTTTCCTGCTTAACTTCTCTTTCCAAGATTAATTTAGCTAAAATGATAAAGGTGCCCTTCCACTAGCAAAAGTTTGTGTCTAGATTGGATTGGCACCGCAGTAGCAGCTGCAAGGTGTAGCATCTTTTGTATTCCTCACTGGCATATGTATGCTGCTAGAACTTGGTAGACTAGGTCTAACCTTAGGCTACGGTTATTGTGTCTGGCAAGAATAAGAAATTAACTTGGTTTATATCATTTGCAATTTAAAGTAAATTACATTCAGAATGCGCAGACTGAAATATTTTCACATTTTATCTTCTCTCTACAGGAATGAGCTGGAACGCCAGTTTCTTGAGCTGTTGCAGTTCAATATCAATGTTCCCTCCAGTGTTTATGCCAAGTATTATTTTGATTTGCGTTCCCTGGCAGAAGCAAATAACCTGAGTTTTCCTTTGGAGCCCCTCAGCAGGGACAGGGCATATAAACTTGAGGTAAAACTCTTTTTAGATTGCTCAGCAATTAACATATAGGGTGGTTTGGAATTTTTGTGTTGTATCTTCCTTCTCCCGTCTCTTCCGAAATATTCCCCTGAGATATTTTAATATCATGTGTCCCTATTTCTGTAACTGTTTTGTTAATGCTTTGGGTATTCGTGGACATGAGGACAGGTTTTTGGCCTGATTTGCTTCCTACCTTGTCTCGCTTTCCATTTCTTTTTCAGTTCTAGTTGTCTGAATAGACCTTGTTAAAGTATCCACAAGTTTTACAATGGCTCTGTTCACAAGCTGGTTTTGTGTGTTCATTTGCTTTCTTAAAACTGGTTGTCTGCCTTAAAGGACAGAATGTTAACAAGCATTGCTGAAAATAACTATTCATGTGCTTGTTACCTGCTGTTGCTCCACTTCAGATGGATCCAAGTCTGTTACTTCCTGTGATGTTTTTCTCAGTAATGGGAAAACAGAAAGGAGCACATGTCTTTAGTGGATAAATCATGAATGCTTATGAGACCTGGATATACCATGTGCAGAAAGCATGATGTCAGGTGGTGTGGACTGTGAAAGGCAGGGCACTATGTATTTCCACAGACACGGGAGGAGTTTAAAATCATGGGCTAATTGTGAGCACTTTGCAAGGCTGGCATCTGGTTTTCCTGAGCTTTCTGATAATGAAATTTTTCAAATAAGGGCTTTATTGCATGAGTGTGTCCACATTTTATTACTGATTTTGAAATTTGTCATTAGATGCTAACTGCTTTTTAACATTGCACATCTTAATGTAACAGCTTTGCACTGTGGGTTTGCATGTTCCGAAATTTCAAGTCCTCCTGTAAACCAGGCAGGCAGTATTCTACATGTTTTTGTGGGGGGAAATGGTGTGTGGGAAGATTAATTGACTTGTTTGTGACTGTAATGGGAACAGAAAGTGGTGGAGAAAGAATCAAAGCATACTTCCATAAGTTGTGTTTCTCATTCTTTCTAAATACTCTTTCTAAATTTCACTGATAGCTCCAATTTAAGGATGTAACTTAATTCTGTGTATGGAGCATGATGTAAATTTGCATCAGATTTTATTTCTGTTGAAGAGAATTAAAAATAAAAAAAAGCTGGGACTGTAATAGTAAATGAGTTGGCTTACTAAGTTATAGGGGTCTTGATAATAAGTGCCATTACACATATTAAAATTGAGTTAATTACTTTTAGAAGAAATTTAGTGCACAGTTTCCCAGCACTGTCAGTCTGTGTCACATACTGCGTTTAACAGCAGGTTTCAAATGAAGGTAAGAACGATAGCACCTAAAACCTTTGAAGAAAAGAAATACGAAATTACTGTAAATGCCCAAAGAATACTGGTGGTTCTTCTCTACTAACTGAGCATATGTAAAAAGAAAGAAAGGAATATTTTTCAGTAAATCCATAATATTAATTTTTTTTCCATGTTGGGGATGCTTTGTGCTGCCAACAGAATTTGGCTGTGAGTAACCTGCTAGTCAAAGAGGATGTTTTCTTCAGGGAAGAGGAAGAGTATCTGCTGTGAAATCAACTCTGTCTGCCACCTCCTTCCCTCCATTCTGTGGCCAGAAGGAAGGGAACTGCCTTGTTCCCTGGCAGTATTTGGTTGTCAGTAGCGTGCCCTTGAAACTAGCTGACAGCATAATTTATAGCCTCGTTCCTTGAGTGCAGTTAAGCATTTAGCTTGCCAAGAGTTATCAAAATGCATTTGCTGCTCTTCTCTAGGTCTCTCATGTGCTGTTCAGCCCAAGAGTTCCCTGTTTTTAAAACAGTTGCCTGGATTGTCAAGTGGAGTAGATGTAGTACCACACAGGCTGCGATATTTTTGATACTGAGAGAAAAGCTGCAGTCCTTGATGGAAGACAACAGACTCATAGTGAATGTGTGTATGCAGTATGTGGTAAACGGAAGGGACCTTGCTCAGTCCTAAGATGTAAAACAACATTTACTGATACTGGAGATCACAAAAGATTTTGCATAGAGAATGGTTATATTATAACACATTTTTGCAGCTTTCACATTTTTCAAGCTATTTTATGTATCTAAAGCAGGAGTATTAGATCTGGCATGGCAGAATCTGCATTGCTATTTCTGCAGGTATCATAACCTTGGCATACCTATGATGAAAAAAACAATCCCAGGAAGACCAAGGACAAGGCTAGTAAATACCATTCCTTATCAAATGGAAATGCTGCACAAAATCCATCGGCTTAGAGGTGTTATAAGAGGTTGTAGTTCATGTTAAAAATTACACCACTTACTGGAGCATCTACAGTGGACATTTTTCATTATTCAGTGTTCCCACAATTAACACTTAACCAGCAGCTTTGTCTTTTAAATAACTAAAAGAAGGTCTTTTTTTCTTCATTTTCACCAGCCTGTGGCCTAAAAGTGTCCTGATTTTTGTTATACCAGTCCACGTAGTAGCCAGAAACCATTTTCATGACCCCTCTTTTTTTTTTTTTATCCCATTGCGTGAAATCGTGCCAGTTAAAAATGGAAAATAACATTTCATTAGGACATCCAGTCTGTCCACCTGCCAATGCTGTTTGTTCCAAGCAGCATACGTAGTAGCATGTTTCCTCCTTCCTTTTAATTATGTCAAATGTCAGGCTTTCTTTGCTTCTCCTGAGAACTGTTTTCTAATATGGGAGATTTTTCTACCAAAAAGTTGTTGGATATCCAACCTTAATCCACTATTTTGTAATTTCTTATTCTTGTACCTGGTTATTCTCTCATGTACTGAACTAAACATGAGTCAGATTCTGCTCTTTGGGGTAAGTCCACAAAATGTGCCTACCCTTTTTCTGCTTGTGATCTTAGCACTGTGCCTGTTTCAAAGCTAGATTTTGTAAGAGCATTCATTAGTGCACTCCCAATTTGAGTATGTCGTCTGAGCTTTTTATTGTTAGGATAGTGAGAGTGAGCACATAGTTCAAACTTTCAACTACGTGCTGTATTTTCTTGACCCTAAAGAAGTACAGTCTCAAAGATCAAACAGACACAAAAAAAAAAGGAGAAAAATATGTAAGTTGCAAGATAGAGAAGTGCTTCCATATTCTTGCTGTTGCAGTGATTGATTGCAAGCCTGCCTGTTGTGTGTTCACAACCCTCTTAGCCAAGAAGTGGAGAGCAAAACTCCCCTGCTCTTTTGCCAGGAGTAACCTAATTGCTCTTCTTTTCATTTTCCATAAATAAAGGAGAGCCCACATCATCACAACTTCCAGTTGTTCTAGAGATTTCTTTGTATTTATTTTTTCCCCACATTTACCTTATGTATAACCCTTCCCAACTTACTGCTGTCTGTCCCTGCTAGGTTCTCTCTGGTTTATCCTTTTTTGGGGGGTGTTGTAGCACTCGCGGTTGTGTGCCTTTGTGCATTCCCAGCGGCAAAGCCATAGCCAGCCCTGCTGCTTTCCTGCCCTGCACAAACGTGCATGCAGCCAAAATTTGTGCTGCTACTACTACTTTTGCCTTTCTTACTTCTCCAGAGACTTATCTAGAGTCATATAACTCAGCAGAAGAACTGACTTTTAGTTCTGTGTGCGCATACATTTTGGAAGAATATATGCGTATGCATTTTTCTAACTCATTACAGATACAATAGTCAAGTGCAATAAAATTTCACATGATTGAGTGGTGATCTGGGTTTAAGAATCTTTTGATTTCATGTAAGAAATGGTCCCTTGCAAAAATTGGTTTATTTTTCTAGCAATAAAAGCAACAGAAATATCAGATGACAGAAAAGTGTCTATAAGCTGTTTGGATTTATTTTAACTGAAAAACAGGAATAAATATTTACAATTTTCTGCTTTTGTCTTGTTTCCCCATATGTTATGCTAAAGTTGACTAAATAACTTGCCAAATAGGTTCCAAATGTCAATTTTGTAAATTATTTGAAAATGAAGAAGCATCTTTAGATCCAGGATACATCAGTCAGTGTGTTTCTTATCCATATGATTAATCACCAGAGCCTAGAGATGCCAAATACTAAGTGCCACTTCCAAGCAAAATTTCATTTTGTCTGACCAAGTGCCAGAATAGAAATCTTCTTGTGAAACAGGCAATTTTGAAGTGATTACCTTCTCTGGCTGTTTGGTGCCTAAAGTAACAGCCTTATTTGGCAGCTGGAAGAAGCTGAGCTCTACCCCAGTACACCTATTTGCCAAGCCATGCCTTGACACATAGTTTCATGATTAAACACTTTTTGTCCATTGGATTTCAAATCCGACTGAATTGCATGAACTTTCTTAGTCTATTGAGTCCCTGGTTAAATTAATAAAATGTTATTAAGCAGTTTCAAGTGAGTTATGTTCTGCATAGCAGTGGGAATATTTGTGTTATTTTATTCTGTTGCTCTCTTCATGTGCACCAAAAAAACCCAAGAATATTTAAGAATAGCTTTAACAAAAGGAAAATCAGTTTCCAACTAAAAAGTAGCAAGTGGTTTCTTGTTGGTGGGTTTTATATTGCTTTGGTTTTGTTGTTTCTTTCAATAAAATGTTTTTTTGTGGCCTGCTTAACCAAAGCATGAGGTGAATTTGCTCTCAGGTGTATGTGTTTTGTGCTTCTGTCGTACCTGCCTCTGGTTTATGCAGGACTATTACAATTAAATTCACTGCTGCAGCTTGCTGTGCTATAGAAGGAAATATCAAGAAAGAAAATGATGATCAGTGGAGTCAGGCTGTTTGTTTGTATTGCCTTGTTTTATAATCTGGCACTTGTACTGGCTTTGTTTGTACAGTGCTTTTTATTAAACAGCCTCCCTTAAACACAATTTAAAAGCATTTCTGAGTAAATAAAAGTATTGGTTTAGTTCATCTTATTTTCTTGTATTTGACTTTGAGTGCTCCTTGCAGTGAGCTTTCTCTGCAGTTCTGTATGTTTGAAGCCAGTTAACATTCTTACTGATGCCGACCATAGCCTGTCCTAACCATATGAACACTAATAGACCTGCTGTTTTAGGGCACAGTGTACTTGTGCATGTGAGGTCTATAATAAATACTTGTTTTAAACTCAGTTAAAAACAGTAGAAGAAACATAAAATGTGAACTCCAGTGTAGTATAGTAGGAGTTAATATTTGAATAATGTTTTTGCCTTTAAAAGGTTTTTAAGATTTCTGTGTATTTCTAACACAAATTAAATTACTCTGAATAGGAGTTACACTCCCCACTGGCATCTTATAAGATAGCATGATCACACAGAGGTCACCCCTTCTGAAATGCGAGGAAACGTCTTGTAATGTTTCTGTAAGCAAAGTAGGGCGAGTATTCTGCCAGACCATTTATCAGTAGAGAAAAATATAATTACTTTTAGGAAATAAAAGAATTAAAAGTTGTCTTCTCTATGCATTCTCCAATATGTTTACATTGTTTTGTTAAGTTGTCTGCAATTTTTGTCCCAGTGAAGTGCTGTGTATGAGTTTCCATATAGCAGTGGGTAAGCTCTGTCTGCTCCCTCGATGAAATTTGTGAGGGTTAACTTGTGAAGAGCAGGCTTGGAATATGCTCAGTGTCCTTCAGAAGCAGCTGTGATGGGCAGTGCAATGTCAGCATGTTCCTTTCTTTTGAGATTAATGAAATGAGAAAGAGGATATGGGGAGAAGCTCTTCACTTGTTTAGCTTAATGAAATGCCTGTTTGCAATTCTACCTGTAGGTAGAAACCTGTGTTTAGTTTTATTTTACCTGCAGAGCTGGGGTCAGTGCCATTTTTCATTCTTTTGTCTTACAGGCCATTTCCCGCTTGTGTGAAGATAAATACAAGGACTTCAGGAAAGCCGCAAAGAAACGGTCAGTCAGTGCTGACAATCTGACTGTGGTTAGATGGTCCCCCGCTATTATCTCCTAACAGAGGAGACTGGAATATTCCTATGGACTACTGTTTCATCCATCCATTTTTTTCGGGGTGGGCGGGGGGAGGGGGCTAAAGAAAAAAGACTTTTGATTTTTTTATTTTTAAATCTGTCAAGCTGCCTTTACAGTGCCTCCCCATTGTGTAGCACACGAGTACATACCTAGTGGAAGGAGAAATGGAGAAAGCCGTGTTCGGGAGAGAAGATGGGCAACGATTCTTTTCTCACTCTCGCTAACAGCTTTAACCTTTTTATGAGGAAACAGCAAATTAGGTGCTTGGAAGAAGAAACAAAAAATGAAGTAGAGGCAGAAATACATGTAGGAACTGTGCCATTTTCTAATCAGCTGTACTCATGAAGAGAAATGGCAGCATGAAAACAAACCATGTAGTCAGATGACTGTGCGCTAGAGGAATGAAATTGCGAGAGTTCCATCATAAAGGTTTCTCTTAATATCTTTTTTATTTTTTGTTGTTTTTTTTTCATTCCTCATTGCTGCTTCCCAGGATAAATTCTTCCCTTTGCACAGCAAGAAATACGAAGTCTGTATTTACAGTAGCACAAGCCCCTGAATAAATAGTGTTGGGTTTTTTCACTGCACTTTTCTCTGTAAGCTGTCTTATTAGCATTATTCTTCATAATTATTATGCATATGTTATATTTCTTGTATGCCTTTTATTGTATTTCAAAAGAGAGAACTTGACCATAGTGCTGAACCAAAAGTGTGTACAGGGATCAGAAGATCTTCGTAATTTCATGATGTGTTTTATTTATAGTATACTTGGGTGCGTGTGCCTTCCTGAGTTCTTGGAATCATTTATTTTTCCTTAATATAAAGATACAGTTATTAAAATATTCAGATGATGATGATAAGACTTGGGCCAAATCTCTGAAATTTGCAACAGATCTTGTGATCCTTTTTGCAGATTTTCATAGCATTAGAAGTTTAGCAGAATTCATTCTGAGGGAGATTATTTTGGTTTTGTATGGCCTGACTAGTTCATTCCTTCACATCCAGGTCCATTGTTGCAAGCAATAGTCTCAATTTTTATATGTTTACTTTAAATCAAAGCGTGTGTTTGTATAAAATAAAAAATAATAAAAAAAAAAGCAAACCAGTTGTTCCAGTGAGAAGCCCTGTGGAAGAGCAGGATGCAAATCTTAACGAGATAATTGTCACAAATAGATTTGGTTTTGAAACTAAAATACAGACCCTCATGTTCCTCAACCTAGGTGCTTATAGAAATTAACAGTAAACGAGCTGTGAACATAATTTTCAACTCTGATTATTATGCTCTTCTGTTGTTGTTACTAGTTCCCTGTTACCATGGCTGTTGCCCCCTTGGAATTTGTAAGAGCCTTTCATAGGAAATAACTTGTCAGTATAAGCATTTGCTTTTATAATTTCCCGGGGTGATTCCTTCCCCCCTCCCCCCCCCCCTTTTTTTTTCTTTTGCAGTTTAGACAGGTAACAGCTGAAAACTCTCAGTTCCCTGAAATCCTTTCTCGGTAACTATCACTGAAATGAATAGCAACAGACGGCCCTGATTTATGCACTACTGTGGTAAACCATGAAGATTCTGTATTTGTTTTATTAAGCCCTATGGGCTTGTAGCAAACCTAGGGGCCCAGAGCTGCACACTTAACTTCCAGTGCAATGCTAATCGGGTGCCTCCAGGCAGAGAAGCACTGACAGGATTGAAGTAGTAATACCAAACAGTTTCCTGTTAACTTTCTAATGTGATTTGTGTAGTTTGAGACATGAAGGTTTTGTCCATAAATTCTCCTGACGTCCTTTGGGCCTTTAAAATAATCTCATTCTCATCACTTCTTGTTGTGCCAATGCATCAGAACTGTGAGTATCCAAGTCCATTTTCCCCTTGAATGTGGAATGTAAGGAAAGTGTTTATAACAATACAAATGCAAATTACAGCATTTGAAACCTCTTTACAGATAGTATCTAAAGGAACATTTTCAGAGCATTTGAAACTCATCCTTTATAAGCATAAATTTAGGCTTTAAAATATGTAAAATATTTTGATTTATCAACACTTTGCTAAACTATTTTCCATTTAACTTGATATCAGGAATATTGGTTTTATCCATTTCTGGGTGATGGAGATATGAACTTTGGATTATGTAAAGATCTCAATGCATCAACTATAATTTTTGTGAAGTTTATTAAACTACTTTAAAGATTGTATAGTCTATTTATTGTATGTATGTACATACAGTCTGATACTTTAAAAAGTGGATTCCGTAAAACCTGGCTCGGTCTTGTTTAGACTATTGAATATCGTTTTAGCCTTGTGCACTGGATTCTACCTCTGTATAGGAGAATTTTCCATATTCTTAATTAGTACTGATTCTGTGATTAACTTGGTTATGTTTCTTGCACTAAGAATTAAAAAAAAAACAAAAAATCTGCTGTGTGGATTTTTTTCTTTAGTTTAAGTTTTGCCAGATGAATCCTCTACATTTAGGTGGATGTTTCTTTCCCTCATGGTTATAGAATAATTCTTTGCTTTTTCTTCTGCTTTGTTCCAAGGTTGCCAAAAAATACAGTACTTACCAGTAAATCTTAATGAGTGTCTTTTGTTTGCAAGGTATTCTATACCATGTAATTAAAAATTAATTATTATTTAGGATTATGTTGTGTTCAGTGTAGTTTTTTAAACATCACTGAATGGAAAATGCCATTGCAAGGCTAGAGAGTCATCTCTAGAAGGTGAGAGGGGAGGAGAATCAAATGGTGTTTTAATTAGCAGCACAAATACCTTGTGGTTTTCATTTCAGAACCTGAAACTATATTTGCTGTAAATGTTTTCTGGATTAAGGTTTTTCTTACTGCTTTGGTCACTGGCTCAGAAACAAAAAGTTGTAGGAGGTGTAATAAACCTCTCCCTTCAAGCATCATTGTCTTAATGAATTATTTTTATATGTTGAGCCAGTGGATCATCTGTTTGGGCATTTATGCATTGATAATTGGATAAATATTTGAAAAAGGCATCTTGTAAGGGGTTTTGTCCTCTGTAACCCAGGGATGTTTTCGTAATTCCTCTTTCCATCTGCAGACTTGTTTATATTTTGGGTTCTGTTTACGTTAATTTTTTTGTCAGTGATATATACCATTCTGACAGACACTGTTCTGTGGGACTGAGAATGCTGAGTCGTGAGGTAAAGTGCAAAAAGACGAAAGAAACCATTTTTCCACCTTCCACAAACACCATCAGTCTTTCAAATGATATGATTTCTATTGCTAGAAAAATACTAAAATCCTGTCCCATAGCAGGGTAGCAGTATCCTTTTCAAGAATTATATTTTCTTTTTATTGATTTTTTTTTTTTTTTTTGAGGTGTGTGGGGGGAGAGAGGTCAGTATATATGGCTTAGTTTCCCTTAGCTTAGTTTTGTTTATCATGTAAACTAAAACCGTGATGAAAGAACTGTTTACATTTATAGAGTCTTAGTTCAGACTTTGTTAACACCTCTCTCTACTTCCGAGCTTTCCTAATGCCAGAAACCTTAGGTATAACCTAATGATTAGAAGTAGCATCAGAAAAAGGTGATGGCGTATTGGTGGCAGATGACAAAGTGACATCTGGTAGTGTTGGCTATGTATAAAATTAGAAGTATGTGGGAGGGGATAGAGAAACTGAAAGGGCAGAACCAGAAAAAATCCCAAAGCCTTAACAGCTGAAGCAACAAATTATTCACAGTCATCCATTGTTGATAATGAACATTGCATTTTCAAGTGGCACATTTACCAACTGGAATTCTGCACATCCACTGCAGACTCATCTTGCTCTCTGCTTCTGTATGGTCTTCATAAGGAATTCACTCTGTCTAGCTTTTGGCACTTTCCTGACTTCTGTTTTGGGCACATTTCTGTGGGTTTTTTTACTTGAATTGACAGTTGTTGGAAACATCTGCCAACCTCTGCGTCAGGGTCCCACTTAGTGTCTCTAAGAGTTTCTGAGAAAACAACTCAAATATAAATATACCTGTGTGAATGTGACCTATATGTATAGGGAAATGTTAATATCTGTGCCCAGATTAAGGTAAGTGCCTTTCTGCTGTTTTTTCTCTTCAACTGAACTGCATTTGAAGGAAACCACAGAACTGATTAGACTTTGAGTTGCACAAACTAAAGGTAATGACAGAACATATGTAGCAACCCCTGCTAGGAGAAAACGCTTTAGAAAAGGAAACGAGATAGTGCAGATGAGAATGCAAAATACTGACTGTTGAATCCCAGAACCATGGCATGAAAATGACTGAGTGCATTAGCTAAGAAAGCCAATGCTTGAGTTTACTTCTGTTGCCTGGGCTGGGTCACCAGACTCTTCCCATTAAAGGAAGAAGCAAAAGGATGGCAGATTGAAGAAAGACAGGTGACAACAGTACAAACAGAGTATATTTCTTGTGTTCTTTCTAGAATGGCTGGTCTGATGTGACTTGATGTGAAAAGAAAGGTTGTTCTTTCATGCCCTTTACACCATGTGTAATGTGTTTCAGGATTATTGGTGGAGGCTTTCACCTGTTATAGCTAGAGATAATACTCCTTGTTGATGATATAGTAAGCAAGCTTCTTGGTGTGGTGATGGGTGACATTATACCTACATTATTCATACCAGTTGTCCAGAGTCTCTGTACAAGATTTTGTAGTGCTCACTCAAGGCACTGGACAGTATCTTTGTGAAGATGTCAATGGTCTCTACAGACTGAGAGCAGCAAGTAACAAAACGTCAAATATTCTATCTGTGAGATGTAATTTCACAATGTACTCCCATAATTTACTCACTCAATGTACTTACATGATACAGTTTCAGATCTCTGACACTTAGACAGTGGTGCTGTGGTAACTGATGCAGTAACTTTGAAGCAAGAAAATCTTTGGAACTAGCACTGCTGCCCGCTTTGAATGCCCTGGCAATGAAGCACATCCTCAAAAGGCGGCTTACTCGTGACACGAATACTACTGACCAGGCTTTAGAGTAAGACACCATGTAAGAGATCCTGCAGCACACCTAAGTCTAGTGCTAGTTCTTCTGTTACCTGTATGTTGTCTTGCTTCACTGCCTCTGGGTTTTCATGCTCTTATTTTAGACATTAGTACAAATTATTTTCTATGGAAACAGTATCTCAGAAGCTGGCAGCTTTGATGTACTTGCTGCCTTGTATTTTGACAATACAGATCATCCTGTGACCATATACTTCTCTTTCACATATTTCAGGCAAGTTAAGCACTCTTCTGTGGAAAAAGCTGAGGCCAAAAAGATGGGGGTTGGTGTGCTAGATGGGTTGTAAGGCATAATTAGGTGTGCATTGTTTTAAAATAAGCCAGGAGATAAAGACCAGAAAATGCATTTGTATCTTCTGTGGTATTAATACCAAAAGGCTTTGGTGATACTTCCAGTAGCATGAGGATGTTAAATTTCTTGGGCAAAGAGTTTGAGGGATAACTGTCTCCCTTCAGCAGGACAGGGTATGCAGATTGTATTGCCGTAAATCGTAGGAGGAGGAGGAAGACCAGGTTATACTGAGCAAAATGGTACAAAAGCAGCATGTAAAATACATACACCAAGTAATCTTGAATATTGTGCATTAGAATTGCAGAGCTGTCTTGGTGTTGACACACATTCTAGTAGTGTTTGGAAAGTATTGGTGGTCACCTTATTTACATAATTATATCCTGTTCTTTTTGTGGCCTTAAAAGGTCATCCTGTGTATGCAGAAGCTTAGCTGATGCTATCAACTACTAGAATATAAGCAATACTTATTTGGAGGTAGACTTAAAGAAATAAGAAATGTAGAAGTGCTCCTGTTAAGAACAAAAGCTGCTGGTGGTAATTTGGCAGTCCTGTTGGGGTTCATCAGTGTAAACGTTATGTAAAGAGAGGGGTAAAACCAGTCCCCTGTTTGTGAGACCTCCCTGTACATGTCAATAGCACTTCTGAAGTCACAGTGGGAGGGTAAGAAGAATTGCAGACACCTTCACACCCCCCCAGAACCCCAGCCCCAAGTCCGTTGTAGTTACAGTAATTCTGCATTGGTTCTAGCAGAGTTGTGAACAGAGATGGAAAGTCGTCTTCCAATTTCTTTATGTAGTTGCTTTGCACAAAAGTGAAAATGGTTAAAAAATCCAAATCGCCACCAGCATTTGTAACATTAAATATTTAACTTGTTGCTGCCAGCAAGCATGCACCTTACGTTTTACCATACGAACGTGTCCGCAGTTTGACTGTACTTTAGTGGTCCTTTAGAGGGCACCAATTCTAAATCTGTCCTCTAGGAAATTAGAGGGATGAATGTTGTAACATAGGAAGATAGCTAGGTATATCTCCATGGTTATGCATACAGGCAGGTAAAGTGATCTTCCAGATCTGCTGGGGTTTAAGGTTTTGGATCAGTGATTTTTTTCAGCTGGCCAGAGATAAGTACTACAAAGCATAAAGCAGCAGTACTGACTTAATCTAGAGAAATTATGGTCATGTCACCCTGACACTAAACTCCAGTGAACAAAGGACTGGGCTGATTCATCTGCGTCCCCATTTAATAATTAACCTACTTCTAAATCTCAGTACAAACCTCTTCAGTGTTTCTGATCTGTGGGAAATCTAGACCATGGAATTATTGCTTTTCTGTGGTAGCCAGCCACTGCTGTACATCAGAAAGGCTTTTTTTTTGTTCTGTTGTTTGTTCTGTTCTGCTGCCGTGGCAGGACAAAGTTGTTCTGCTCCTTAAAGCATGCAGAAAGCTGAACCATGCTACATCTGTGTGCTTAGATACCTGATAGCCAGCTGCGACATTTTAACTTTTCTAAAAGAATTTGTTAGAAAAAGAAACAGTTTTCTGTTTCAGGGCAAGAAATCAGTTGTGATTTTTCTCTGAAATACACAGATTGCAAATCAGCATCCAATTTTTCCATTTCAGATTTATTTTATTTTTTTTAATACTCTCAGACTTGAGCTGAACTTTTCCTTCATAATTTCAGTCTGTGAGTGCATGTATGAGCATTTTCTTCTTATTAATTGCTTTAGATAAGGAATTTATGTTCCTTGTCTAATTGCAAATGGAAAACAGCTATTTTAAATAGCATTTGAATCTCTTGTTCCCCTCCCCCCCCAGGAGTGCATTTGTGTGTATTCTTTGACTTTTACAGGTAGGTAAATCTAGTGATACAAGATTGCAGGTTTTGGCACTGTCCCCTTCGTACTGTAACACATGGACAATGAACTTTTTACAAATTACAGTATAAACTGAAAACTTCAGAGGACTAGGAGGGATGTGGAACAGAAGAAGAGTGCAACTTTGATTTCTTCAGCAGGCTAATACCTGCCCCTCTCAGATTTTCTTCTTCATACTGTGTCCTAGAATACAGTTTCAGCATCTGGAGCGTATCCAAAGAAGGGCAACAAAGCTGGTGAAGGGTCTAGGAACAAGTCTCATGAGGAGCATCTGAGGGAACTGGGTTGTTTAGCCTGGAGAAGAGGAGGCTCAGGGGGCACCTTATGGCTCTGTGTAAGTACCTGAAGGGAGATTGTAGTGAGGTGGGTGTCAGTCTCTCCTCCCAGGTAACAAGTGATAGGACAAGAGGAAATGGCCTCAAGCTGAGCTACAGGAGGTTTGGTTTGGATATTAGGAAA